TTATATGAAATTCTAGGAAAAGCAAAACTATGGTGACAGTGAAAAGATCAGTATTGGCTAGGAGTTTGGGTGGAGACATGGATGAATATGCAGAGCACAGGGGATTTTTAAGGCAGTGAAACTATTCTTTATGATACTATAACGCTATATAGATAATGATATATGTAATATATCATAATATATATATATAACTGTATATGTTTTTGTTTTGTGAATGTGTGTAAAAAGATGTTTGAATAATGATATATGTAAGGGTATATTTTATGAAACTATTAGATGATGTCTATAAAATAAAAAGAATGTAAAGTTTAATTCCACATTTCAATTTCTAAAAGATAAATTTTCAAAATCAATAAAAGAAAGGCAAAGCAAAAACATAAAAAGTTGAGAATTCAAATTAGGTTGAGCTTTATAAAATAACATATTTTTAGGAAATATTAACTCAGTTTGAAACTTCTATAGAAAGATATTCCTAACAAACATATATAAAAATATTCATTAATATACGAAGGATTTCATGATTAGGGGAAAATATTTAAATTACATTCTTGGGAAGAAGACTACATAATACTATGTAAATGTAATTTGATTTTTGTAATTTTGGAAGTATTAACTTCTTTTATTCTTATGAACACAAATCACAAAAAGCTGACAACATTGAGTTAAAAGAGAAGGAAGGAAACATTGTGAAGATCAAATGTTATTAACTGAAGAGTATTATATTTCTAGAATATTGGTAGAGAAGAAATTCTACCACAAAGAGTGGACTTTGTTATGTGTGGAGGAAGGTACCTAGATGAGTACAAAAAATAATAGGAAGTAACTTTTTTAAAATTTGTCCTTGAATGAGGGTAACAATTGGACAAGAAAGAAATGAGGAAAAGCAAGCATTAGAGAATGAGACTACACCAAAAAAAAAAAAAAAAAAAGGAGGTACTTGATCCTTTCAACATAGGAGCATATGATGTTTTTTTCCTCTTTTATGCTTCAGGTTGACACTGTTAAATCTATTTTAAACCTGATCTTACATTTGCCCATGGGCCATAATTAAATAGTTGAGACATTACTTATTTGGTATCTGATAAGAGATCTATTGACATGAACAGGTGTATATTCCTGAAAAACCATGCAGGTTTTACAAGGCTAACATCCTTATTGACTGCTGAGTCATAATTTCTGACTAGTGCCCAAGTCAAAAAATATTTGAATAGCATCCCTGTACTTCTTCATATTTCAAAGAAATTATGAGACAGAAGCTCTGATCATTTTGTATTATAACTATCAATATCATTATTATTGTGTACCCAGCACAATTGTATCATTTAAAAAGAACTACATAGATTAATTATTTTATGGAAGAAAATATTTAAACACAAATGTACTTTGGAGAATAGTCTGGTTTATTTTAGTTCCATAAGTGAACAAAAGTGGTCTAACAAAATGGTAAATGAGATCCTAGAGTGTGTCCCAATCTGGCACATGAATAATGGCATTATAATTATTACAACCAGCCATTGACCTACATGATCCATGAATCAGCAAGAAACCATAATATATTTTTTTAAAGAAAGCATAATCTTGATTCAACAATAGACATGAAAAATTCAGTACCTATTGCAGACCTTAATCTCTTAAATGTGGGGGGGAATCTCATCCTTCACGTGAATTAAAAGTCACAGTGAAATTTGTACGTTAAACATATAATTGACTGTACAATTTTTGCCTAATCTTACATCTTTAAAGATAATATAAAAGTTTATTCAGACTTAGATTTCTTAATATATAATCTAAATTTTATAATTTCAAATAACATAATTTTTTATCTTAGCATATGTTAATTTGCTTCAGGTCTCCTGTGCCAGAGCATACCAGCATATACCATTCTTTCTTTCTCTCTTTCTCATCTATTGTTATTTTCCTTTCTTAGTCTGTGGAATATGGAAATACTATTACTCTTTTGGCAAATGGAGAACTTGAAAATACTTTCTACATCACTTGTGCACTTATAATTATGTAAATTGAATTAATGTTTCCCAAGAACGTACTGTGTTTTTCCTTGTTTGTGACATTTGTAATTGTACTGTATATTATCTAATAAAAGATTACATAAGCTGATAAAATATTGGTGTGAAAATAGTTTTTTTCTGTGAAAACAAATTAATTTTCAAATATATTATTAATAGAAATAAACCCCACTATTAAGGAATAAGTGGATAAAATAATGATCAAATATTAGAATAAGTAGCAACAATTTTCTCTCAGAATAATTCATAAATTTATTTTAATTTTTTATTCCAACTTGAATATATGGAGACTGAAATTCCTCATTCTATATTAGGGGCATATTTTATATATAAACTTTTGGTGGTCCACCATCCTTATTGGACTCAAATGACTCATTAAAATAGAAACCTCAGCTCTAAATTAAATACCTAGTGAATGTTCATTTATTTGATTATTTTTATAATATTAATTGTGTCATTTATGTGATATATGATTTATCACTTTAGACAAAAAATTGTTCTCAGTACAACTGATCTTAATCACAAAAAGGGCTTTTATATTACCTATATTTTCAAAAACAAGTTATAGATATTTAAATGTAACTTTTTCTTTTCATGTAGCAAAGTATCATTGTATATTCATTTTCGGTTTCAAAGAGTGATATGTGCTTATTATGTAAAATTTAAGTGATTCAGAAAAGTACATAGTTACAATCTAGGGAGATGTTATTTCCAAAGATAGCATCTGTGGTTAACAAAAAATAGATCACATAAAATATTAAGAATTCAGTTAGTATATATGTATATGTGTATAATAGTGTTCAAATATATAATAAAATAGTGTAAACTGATTATGTATTAATAATGAAGATAATATTATCACTGTATTTCTTGCCAATACCTTTGTCACTTTTGAAAATCTTAAGAATTATATTGTTACATATTATCATGAAATAAATGAATATTTCAAAAATATTAAAGTAACTTTTTAATAATAGCTCCAAATTTCAATCTAATGAAGGTTAATTGACAATGTTTTTATCCCCTCGTGGTTTATTAATTTTTATTTACTTCTTAAATAATTGAATTTTGCTATGAATTTTCTTTTTCTGACAACTGTATTTTAGCACTCCAGATCCTGAGTTCTTTTATATTGCAAATTAATGTCTGTTGTGTTTTCTAATCAAATGACATTATAATTTGGTAAAATATTCTGGGATCACAGGAACTCTCAACATCTTATGCATATTGACACATCCTGTCAATCTTGTCCTTAGACTGAAATTATATCATGAATGAAGCTGAGTAACCACCTCCACATTTTATAAGTGAATTGTTTTTCTTCTTATTAGATACTTGAATAACTTTATTTCATATACATACATATGGACATTTATCATTTAATCAGATGTACATCAGCACCTGTAATTTTTCTCCTGGAAATTCAGTTTTTATTATTTTTTAAAATTGTATTATACTTCTTAGTACCATTTTCATTTTATTTGTGTGTTCTCTTTGGATGCTTTGTAGTTTACTAAGTATATTGTCTTTTCCAGTTCTGTTATTTGACATTTATAATCTATATGACATAATTATAAAGATATTTTGTTGCTTAATTCATATCTTTAAGTTGTAATCTTCTTTTATTTTAGATTTCAGCTTTCAGTAATAGAAAACCTTATCATTTTTAAGTCTCAGTATATTTAAATTGGGGCAAAACTAAAGAAAATATATGAAGCAAAACATGTACTATTTTGATTTTTTATTATTTTTCACAAGCCTTCTTTAATAGTGATTTTTAACCAGTGATGTCTCTGTTAAACTGTTTCATAGTGTAAAAATGCCCTATAGGATTTCTTTTCTTGAGATTTTGTTCATTCTTATGCCCAATTTTTGTCTGTTTCGCTCACTACATGCCTTCCTTTTGTTTTATTTCTATTTATTTAATATCACATTTCACTTTTAGTCACCCTGTCTGTCTTTCACTAGCTTACATTTTTTTTATGCATAGAGTCCAGCACCTAGTTAAAAAAAAAAAAAGAATACCTTTTGTGGTCTTTCATGCTCAACCATGGGCAATGACAAAGGATTTGCCTGGTAGGCTTCATGAGAAGAGCTGACTTCCCCACACCAGACTTGGTGAAGACACTGTGCAGTTGACTGAGGATGTTGCAGTCAAAGACTGAGATCCTCTGGCCAGTCATACTCATACATGTATTTATATATTTGCACTCCTAATCCAAGTACTTTTATTACTAATTATCTTTATTTGACATTTTGAACAGAGATCTTATTATAGGCAATTTTGCAAAGGTCTCCTGATGATTTGTTTTTGGAGGGTAGGGTAGTAAGGGAATAAAACTTAAGACACATTTCTACTCTGACTCAGTATTTAGTATTTTTCCAATTGTTCTTTGAGGCGCCTTCAGCAATAAGACAATCCCATGTCTGCCCAGATCCACAGGACCCTTGACTGATGTGTAAAAAATTAAAAATCAGAAACTTCACTTAAACTGAATTAGGAGACCAGCAGGGGGAGCTCTCACATCCTGTGACAATAGCAGAGCCCAACAGGAAGAAGAACTTCTCTTCTTCTCTCCTAGCAACAACTTAGACAATGAAAAGCCATGGACTTTTGTTTACTATAACCCTCTCAACTTCCTTTCCACTCATGAAAGAGTTCTCCTTCCCCAGCCATGCAGGGACTTGCATGTGTCCTGCCATGGTTGCAGGCCCTGAATTGTAATTCTCTGTTGATCCTGAATAAACCAATCTTAACTGGAGAAATGACACATTCTGGTGCCCTGCATTGGGACTAGAGAAGACCCCTGAGGGCTCTGGAACTGGTGAACAAACAGAGGCAGTATCCTCTGCTCTTCTCAGCAACTCTGGTGTTTGAAGTTATATCTTTCTCCTTGATTTGAGCTTATGCCCTCTTTATGTTTGAAGCTCTGCAGGCTAGGGACTTATTTGAAAGTTTTATGCTTTCTGATTAAGGCTTCATTCTTTATGTGAGTACTTGTTTGTTACCTTGGTCTGATTTTGAGTTCAGACTGTTTTAACCAAAGATGGCTAAGACAGCATCAGCCCATTCCTTCAGGAACAGGGGCTGCTTTACTGAAATTGTGTTTTTTCAGCCATCAGCCCATTCCTTTGGGATAGAGGCTATTTCAATGAAAGTGACTGAAAAATCTTTGGTCTGGCCCCTCCAGGACTGAGCTATTTCCTTAGAAATGGCTGGTGTTAGGTCTACAGTCTGTTTGAGTTGCAAGCTATTTGAATTGAGCTGCTTAAGTTATTAAGATATTTAAGGTACTTGAAAAGTATTCTTTTACTCCAAGAAAAGCTTCTGAAAAGTGGGACCTCAGTCATTTAAATATTTTGAAGTCACCCCTCTTACAGAGACTTCAGCCAATTTTATGTTTAGAAACCATTGTACTTCTTCATGTGCATTTCTGACTAAATGGACTGACCTGACCAAAGGCAATTTAGGATACTAATGGCAATAATAGGGAAACTTGGGAAATTCCCAATTTTGGGAAATTAATTTTAATTTTCTTATAACCAAATTGGATTATAATAGAACCAAAGTTTCCAGAACTGAATGGCTCTTTTTTTTTAATTGAGACTTTCCAACATTATTAGGAGTTCAAAATTGCCTTTCTACAAAATAAAATTTTAAGATTAGTTGAGGCAAACAGACAATTAAGAAAGATAAAAATGGCTCCTAAAGCCTCAGACCCTTCTTCCTAGTCTTTTTTGTCTAAGGCTCCACCTTTGGCACCATGTTTTGTGCTCTGCTCCCTCTCTCCCTCAGCTCCTCATGGTCAAACTCCCAGTGGGAGGATGCTAAAAAAAAAAAAAGAAAAAAAATTCTTATCAGCTCTGGCCAAACTTCTGAATGGTAAAACATAGGGCTGTACTATGACTGGAAGTCCCAATTATTTGGAGATGATATCCCAAAGACTAAACTCCTTCAAATTTCAGATCATTCCCTGACAACCTGGGGCAAATTTTAATTGTATTTGAGAGATTAGTCAGTCTTCATTATTCATTTCCTTTATTACATCAGACTACCAGTTAATAACTATCAAAAAGGAGGAAATATAATTTTCTTCTTCTATTACATCTCTTCATAGAAGTACATAAGAATTGTTTAAAGTTTCACAGTTAGAGATTGAATCGGTGACAATGAGATTAGGAGCCCTCAGCATAATTCTAGAACTTTCTGCTTCTATTTTAGGCAAAAAGAGTTACACAGTATGGCCAATTCTGAACACTATATGGTCTGGGAACCTTTTGTAAAGCACAGGATACAAACCTATGTGTGCTTACTTAGACAGAGAGCTTTGGATGGTGCTCATAGAAGTGAGGTGCCCCTTAGTTTAATCTTCATTAGCTCCACAACAGATATATCTCAGTTTAAACTGTTACTTTTCAAAAAATATCATGCTATTAGGTATGTCCTTTCCATTGGGCTAGCACTACAATTTTGTTTTGTTTTGTTTTAAAAAGTTTTGCTCATTTCATTATATTTTTGATAAGTCTGGTTTGCAATTCATTTCCATTCTAATTTCAACACTTTGTGATCTTAATGTTCATAACAGTATGAAGTTATTATGACTCCAGGAAGTACACCAAGACACTCACAGTGTAAGTAGGTTGTTCAATAAGTGGTCAGGTTGGAATTGAAATCCAGATCTAGTTGAAACTCCCACTTTTGAATGTGGTAGATAAATACGATGACAAGTAATATGAGGCCTGAAACTTATAATTAAATAATTATTTTATTTTGAAATAAACTATTAAATACATTTTCTTAAACGTGTCTAAAGATGACAAAATTGAATATTGAATTTGTATCACAGAAAATGTATATTGCACTAAAGAAAGTAATGACATGGCATTATTCTAAATCTAGACCCCCAAAACATGGTTTTAAATACTGAGTTACTGAATGTTTGATAGTGGGCAAACACTAATATTTCTGAACCACCAATTTCTAATCTGTGAAAATGGGGTTAATACATATAAGTATCAAATCTAATATCCCAGAATTCAATAAATATCAAACATATATGATCACTTATCAACACTTAAGAATAGTTATATGGAAAGTATACTAGAAGACAATTATATTATTTTGTAAACTATTTGTATAAACATTTTAAATACACTTAGAGATGAACATAGTCATTACTAAAATGTATAAAAATCTGTATATGTCCTAGTTAAATAGTTCAAATGTGTATACTTTTTAAGATACTATGTATTTAATATTAATTGTTTAACACTAAGATATGTCAACAATGAATCTCAAAATAAATGAACTACTTTTAGCTTTTTAATTACTCTGAATTCCCAGACAAAATTTATAATAATTTCTTGTATCAGCTCTTGAAATTCTGTTTGTGATCCTGAATTGTTTGCTCTCTGTAAGATTTACTGGCTCTGAATTGTTTGGTGAACTGTCATTATCCTTCTACTTAAAGAATTAGTCAAGGTTGTGAACATTACTGAAATTCATCTGAGGCAACCTAAGGTAAATATAAAAATAATGAGCAAGGACTTTTTAATAATGTGAAGTGTCCCACCTAATCTGGAAGTACAAGTATACAGACAAGACAGAAAAGCATGTTTATATTAAAGCATTCACAAAGCAAAATTGAAAAATACGAAGCACCAAATTAAAGAAAAGCAAAGCTTTGGAAAATCATCAGCCTAAAATTCTATTACTGTAAACTCTCTGAAATAGTTTGAATTAAAAGAATATATGTACATTCTTCATATTTTCTCCCTTAATCCTATTTTCCCTCCTCTTGATTGTATGAGTTTGCACTCATCAATAAAGCATTGTCAGTAAATTTATGTTTCAGTCTCTCTTTTCTAGAGAGATCAAGATAAGAAGACAACATAGTGTCTCATTAACAATTATAATGAATTAATTTTGGTAGAATTATTTTCCATTCATATTATTTCCCCCAAATACAGCAGTCTACATAAAGGTTAAACATGAGAAAATTTTCAGTGAAATTATTTTCCACAATCTTATTTATGCAATACATGGAAATTATAATGTATTCTAAAGAGAAAATGGAACTTATTTGTAAATGAAAATAATTACTTTTTTGTTTTGAAAATGATGAGTAAATAGATAGAATGGAATCAATGGTGGATATATTTTACATGTCTAACTGCAGATATTTCAAGAAAAAAAAAAAACACTTCCAAAAGGGAGAGCCTTAAGATGCATTTGTATTGGAATAATATAGTTGTCTCAGTATTGGAATGGTATTGTTCCATCAAAGTATAAAAAATAAGTTTCAAAGAAAAAATTAACATTTTTATGTAAAAATAGTTGTATCTGTTTAAACAATTTCTGTTGAAATCAATGTTTTATTATGAATATTTGTAATTTTCCAGGAATTTTCTCCCCTTCTTGGTTTTCACTTTCTTTCGCATGTTATTTTTATCTTAACCTTTCTACTGGGAATTGATTAAAGTCTCTTCAGTTCAAAAGTGAAACAAATAAACAAAGAAGAGAATAGAAAGACAAAAAATATCTTTACTTGTCCCCCAAACCACAGTTCTTTTATTAGGCTTACAAAATCCTTTACTTGTCCCAAAATCATAGTTCCTGTATTTACAGAGATATTTTTAAAACATGTAAGTAGTAATTTACTCTCAGTTGATATCTGTGAATTTGATATCCAATAAAATCCTCCTTTATCTTAATTTCATAATAGTTGTCTTCTGTATTTTTGTCTGAGATTTTACCCTTTGTTTTCACTTTAGGTCATTTTTCTGTCTGCAGTTTATGTTTATAGTATAGAGAACTTGTTTTAGTTTTTCTTCCATAGTATCCTAGCACCATATATTGAATAGTTAATTAATTTCCCCAATAATTTTTAAGGCTGCTTCTGTCATATACCAAGTTCCAATTTATATGTTGATTTTTACTTGAAATAATTATTCTGTCCAATACATTTATTTACTGATCTCTTCAGTAGTACATTTTAAAATATTTATAAATTTAAACTTATACTCACTACCTAGATAGGAAGTCACCTTATTATTTTTCTTCTTCACAACTATATTATCTATCTTTCTTCCAAATAATTTTAGGGTATACTTTTCAAGAGTTATAAAAATACTGTGCTCAGAAAATAATTGAAATTGTGTTCAACTAATAGAGTAATTTGGGGATAATTTCTATCTTTGCAATATTATCTTCCCATCCAAGATCATAAATCTTTCTAATTACATTAAACATTTCTTTTAATAATATATTAAAACTTAAGTCTTTCAACATGGTACTTTTTTTTCAAAAAAGATTAGCACATCTATTGTTAGATCCATTCTTGCACAAATGATAGATATTTATTGCTTTTGAAATATGTATGCAAATATTTATATTTTATTTCTCATGTTAGCATATAGATATTCTGTTAATTTTTTACTGATTGTAGCATTTATCTCATCCTGTTTTTGTAAAACACATTACAGAAATAACCTTCAGTTACATTTTGTTGCAATGTACAATTTACTATTTAAAAAATCATTTATGCATAATATGCTAAGTTGATTTCCATTGGTATGTATACAAAGAGTTTAACTTTTCTTTAAAGAATTTACCTTATGGAATATGTAATTTACAAAACTTTGTTCTTTCTGCTTTCAGGTTAGAAACTCCAGTGTGGTGAAGGGGATTTTGTTTTAGATTTTCTTACTGTCTGTGTCACTGAATGTGAAAACATATTCCATTGCAGGTTTCTATTGAATTAATATTCCCTCTTATTTACTGTGGATTTGAATTATACACAATTTGTCAGGATTTAAAGTATGGATGTTCACCAGCTAATATGTGTGTGTTTGTGTGTGTGTGTGTGAGAGAGAGAGAGAGAATATGAAAATAATGGACAGTGTGCTATCAAATTCACCTGCACTCACTGTACCTATGCCCTTAAAATAAGGTGATGTGCGGTGGGACTGGAGAATCTCTGTTTCTTTAGCCAGTCACTGTGAGTATACATCACATATGTGTAACACTAGTTAAGAAAAAATAGAAAAAAACATTAAATGGATGGAAAATTTAATTAACCTGTTTCATATGGTACTTAACACAGGAAAACTTACTTGAGCAATAACAGAAGCAAAATTAGCTTTCTTGGGTTTATAGAGAGAGGGTCTTTCAGCTTCCAGTGTTTCTTAGAAACATGGTTGAAGATGTTTAGTATGTGTGCTATAAAGTTTTGAAAATGTGCAATTAATTCCAACATGTTCCAAAATCTCAGTAACAAACCAGGAAGCAATGACAGTAATACAATTTTTTTTTTAAAGTTGTATTTTGGATAGATGATACAAATGAACCTGAGAGGTGACCTTCCAACACACCATAACATAAGAAAATTCTCCCAAGATGTGCAAATCTCTTTTGGTTTAAAGCCAGCAAGGGATAGTTTATATAATTTAGGAGACAATACATTTTAATAAATATGTAGGTGAGTATGAAATTAACTAATTTTTATATTGGACATTCACATATTCATTGTGTTCTAGATTGTATATATATTTTAATTTAGGGACAATTTAAGAAATAGAAAGTGTAAGCTTAGCTCCTGGATTAGTTTTCCTGGTAGTGAGGTAACAATATAATTTATTATCCAATCTAGGGCACTTTGAGAATTAAGTGGAGACGTTAATATATTCAGTTAAACTAAAATTAGAAATTTCTGGGGCTTATATCAAATTTGGGAATGTTTCAACCACTGTCTTCAATATTTCTGCCCTAATATACTTTTTCCTCTTCTTTAGTAATACTAGTTAAGCGTATGTTTAATGACTTGATTATATCAAAAGTCTGACAATTATAAAAAAAGTGTTGTTTTTCATATATTGATCTATTGTCAAATTCACTTACTCTTTTTTTAAACATTTTTTATTGAGTTATAGTCATTTTACAATGCTGTGTCACATTCGTGTACAGCAAAATTTTTCAGTTATATATGAACATACATACATTCATTGTCACATTTTCTTTTGCTATGAGCCACCACAAGATCCTGTATATATTTCCATGTGCTACACAGTACAATCTTGTTTATCTACTCTACAATTTTGAAATCCCAGCCTTTCCCACTCCCCTTTGCCCTGGCAACCATAAGTTTGTATTCTATGTCTATGACTCTGCTTCTGTTTTGTATATATATATATATATATATATATATATATATATATATATATATATATATATTAGATTCCACATATAAGCGATTTCATATGGTATTTTTCTTTCTCTTTCTGGCTTACTTCTCTTAGACTGACCTTCTCCAGGAACATCCATGTTGCTGCAAATGGTGTTATGTTGCCAGTTTTTATGGCTGAATAGTATTCCATTGTATAAATACCACCTCTTCTTTATCCAGTCATCTGTTGATGGAC